TTTTTTTTTTATTAATTGTAGTTTCGGTTTCTGGTTTTTTTTACTTGTAGTTTCATATGGTTTCTAGTTATAATATTATTATCTCAGTTGGATGTCTAATCAATTTTTTTTAAAAAATATCAATTTCAAAAATTTATATTCTTAGTTGATACTGCTTTTTGGGTTTTGTGTAAAAGGTTTCTTGAGGATCTGCCAGGTTTTTCAAGCTCAAGAAAAAGGTTTCTTGTACAAAAGACATGTTTCTTGGTCAAGAAACATGTTTCTTGCTCAAGAATTGAGCAAAAGACAAGTTTCTTGAGCAAAAGACAAGTTTCTTGGTCAAGAGTTTCTTGTCAAGAGACATGTTTCTTGAGCAAGAACATTTCATATGTTTCTTGCTCAAGAAACATGTTTCTTATTTCTTGAGCAAGTCATGTTGTTGTCAAGAGACTGGTTTCTTGGGCAAGAAACATTTCTTGAGCAAGAAATAGGTTTCTTGTTTTTGTCAAGTTTCTAGAGCAGAAGACAAAAAAAACTGAAGTTTCTTCAACGTGAACTACAAAACTTATTCTTTAACAAAAAAACATCATACCTCATTAGGAGTTGTCATCTCGTCGTGTTCCAAGGATAGCGCCTCAAAGAGGTAAGAGGTTTGTATGAAGCTCTGTTTTCGAATTAAGAAAATGAAGAAATGCCTCAATTTACCTTTACAAAAATGGAAATTGAAGAAAACTATCCTAGAAAGTACATTTAAGAACGCACACAATAAACATGGCATGTAGCATGTGAAAATTAAGATGACTGAACTTCTTCACAGTATCAACGTAGTAGCAAAAACCCAATTAATTTATCAATCTTGTGTTGACCAATATCAATTGTTATTAATATGCCACAACTACTTTGTCACTTGAACTAAAATTGCACTTTCACCAAAGAAAAAAATGTATTAAATTAATCAATAAATAGTGATTAATCAAGAGCAAAGCTTCAAAACCTGGGACTTTGGAACTATACATCAGACAAAAAAGGGCCAAATCAATTTCTCCTCAGCTCGGACAATTCTCCTTATAAATAATGATTCACACCCAGACTGACATTCCAATTCTCAACAAATATGCAATATTTATGATAACAAGGTTCAATCTTTACCAAATCGAAACATTAAACAGTACAACCCTCATCCCAAACACTACTAAACGCCAAAAAAACAATGAAAACTACAAAAAGAGAATAAACCCATTAATCACAAGAATCAAGACAGTAAGAAACACAAAATCTTGCAAAAAAAAAAAGCAAATTACAAAAGTTGTTAACTTTAACATTTCACGGGGCAACAAATGCAAGAACAGAACCCAAGAACCCAGAAACAGAAAAAGCTACCTAAAATGGTGATTCCCCAGTCGCCCACAAGAATCAAACAATCATTTCTAATTAAAATCGACACTCGAAAATAACACACACAAAACCCTAAAAATCGCCTAAATAACACACACACAAATTACAAAAAGCACATTCAATCGCCTATAAAGGGCCATTACCACTAACAGAAAGGGAACATAAATTGGTATTTTATTGTATTAGAGTCTGCAAAACATCCTAAACATAAGCCCTTGCACACTTTAAAAAAAAAAAATAGAGGGAATAAAGGTGATTCTGAGGTTTCTCGAACATATATTTTTGAGCTAATGTTAAATGAACAAACTCAAACAATGTTTTGAGTATTATACTCGAGTGCAAAAACCTTAGGCTCTTTTTCAGTCAGTTCATTAGTAGCACTACACAAGGAAGGCCGAGAAACAAAAATCTTACTGATAACTGGGGTCAATGTACTACTCAAGTAATAACAAGAAAATACACAGGCCGATTACACAAATTATAGAAAAATACAGTTATCTTTTGAAATTACAAATAACTCCTCGACATTTGCTTCTATTTTGTAACTAGGCATTTAATTGAGGAATTTTGTTAAGTAAACATAAACTAAAGGGTACTTGTAACTCAGACAGTTAATTGGGGAATTTTGTTAAGTAAACACAAACCTGAAAGGGTATTTGTAATTTTGAAAACTAACTGTTATATTGTTCGAAAAAGGGAAAAGAAAGGCGAAATCCCATGAATAGCGTCTTGAACTCCATTTTAATTCCAATTTTCATGATATCGTTTTAGGCTCCACAGAGGTCAGCAAATTAAAAAAACTAAAATGACTTTCAAGTAACATAATTTAATTTAATAGAGGAATGCATAATTTGGACCACACCAAACTCATTGTACAAGAAACTTACTTGTATGGCCAGTCTCAACTAGGTTATCTGGACTAGCAGCCAAATCAAATAGCAACCAAAGGTATTTAACCTGAAAATAATCAACATAAAGCGGATTAGCTCAAAATTTATTAGGCATTACACCCCACAGGAAAGTTTTCACATTAAGCCAATAACTACTACTTACAGTCTCAGGCAAGAAAAAGCTTTCCATGTGATCTTCATGCTGATGAAACTCAACATCCGAGATATGACAATATCTGCACGTGCATCGAGCCAACTGTAAACTGGCAAGCATTTCTCGTCCGTCATCAAGATATCTACAGCAGAGATTCAAATCGCAAGACAATTATACATGTTAACGGGCAAAAGCATCAGATGTTCAAAAAGCCACATCTTTTATTGAGGAGAAACTAATATTTTGAACCATTTATAGTTTTCGCTATTAGTTCCGAAAAATTTAGTCCGCAATTTCAGTAAAGTTGATCCTTCACATGAGTGTCATTTAACAGAACATATATGAGATATACATACCTGGGGTTTCGTGTAGCTTTGTACAACCAATACGTGCTTTCGATTAATTCTGGACGTAATGAGTAGCTTTTCTGACCATGCTGGGGAGAACATAGACAGATGACAGATCCCCATTACTCATAAGATCATTATGTGAGGCTATTTACTAACGGTACAACAAAAAATAAATCTCAGAAGACATTTAAAATTAGTGTAGCATGGAGAATATTAACACAACAAAATAAGTAAAGGAATGTACCAAAATTGAAAATAGTCATCATTCAATGGACAAAGTTAGAATAGCCTACACTTGTTCAGTTTCTTTCTTCATTTTTTTCTTTTTTGTTCACCCAGTTTTTCAGTCTCAAGTTTTCTAAAAAGTTTCAGTCTTGTAGGGCTTTTGTTTGTATAGTTTTACAGTCTTTTAAAAAAGAAAGAGAAAGAAAAGGGAAAATAAGTGAAGTACCTGCACTTTGAAAGTGGCCAGATTGAAACACTCTGGAGTGAAATTATACCGCTTCCAGACACTAAAGAAGGCAACATGAGTTCTAATTGCAGGTTCAATAATCAAGTGTAGTTTAGTGACATGATGATACGAAAGAAAACTAATTACCTAAAGTCCAGGCCAGAAGCCTGCAGGCTATTAAATAATGGCCAAACAAGGGCAGCAGAATTCATGTTTACCTCCACATACCTAATTCAAGACATTACAAAGATACTTATTAATGGTTAGCAAGCAAACACGAAAAAAGCTAATCAGTTGAACAAGGCCAATGAAATATGCTGGCAAAGGAATTTTACTCACCAAGAATCATTAAACAGATAGAACATAGCAGCTCTGTATGCTTCTTGGAAAATGAAAAAAAGATACTCTTCATCACCAAATAATATATAAGCCTGACACCAAATAAATATTGATCAGAACAGGATTTTCAGATCCCACACATTTTCAAGAAGAAAAATATGTGTTCTGAGCATATTAGCAAAAACAGAAAACGTGTATTATGTTTCTGGCCCAGCCAATTTCATAAATATTGCCAGAGCATGTGGCCGAAAATCATCGCCTTCCTTCACAATCTATCATTTTTTTCTTTTTAGCACCTCGGAAAACTTCTTGTTATCAAACAGGACCCTAAAGGTTTTGCAAAATTACAAGTTAAAAGTTCTCGCAATTTAGATCATACCAAAAAATTATTTGGAAATACTTCTGTAAGAAATACTAGCCAAGCAGAAAGGATGTATTTTTTTTTTTTTTTTAAAAAAAAAAGGCAAGAAAACTACAACAATTAGAATCACATGACATCAACGAAACGTATAAAATACAGCATTGCAGTTTCCAGAAGAAGCGTATTCACCTTCAGCAGATACTCATAGAATGGGGGCAAGATCAAAAGGCATACCGAGGCTTTATTGATGAGGAAAACAGCCGCTGACGTCCCGTCAACGGCCGTCAACTATCCTGGCACCGCCGCCACCGTCACCTGCCCTTGTCTCAGACTCGCACAGAACGCCCGTCGAGCCCCCCGATTGTACTGACGGCGAGGGTCGCTGTTCCGGCGAGTTGCAGAGGAATAGTAGAGGGATGACGATCGACCTGAACAGGATGACCTCTCGGCGATCTGAACGGGAGATGGGAAGCGCGGCTGGAAATGCCATTTGGGGCTGAGGAATTGCATCGAATTCGGGTGAATTTTGATTTAGATGCAATATACTTGGTTGATTTCTGTGAAAAATTGGGTGATTTGTCTGTGTGAATGAGGATTGGTGAATTTTGATTTAGATGCAATATGCATGGCTTATTTATGTGGAAAAAATTGGTCGAATTGACTGTGTGAATGATGATTTTGGTGAATTTTGATTTAGATGCAATATACTTGTTTGAGTTCTTTGAAAAAAAAAATGGGGTGAATTGACTGTGAGGTGAAATGTAATTTGAGTGATTCGGGTTTTGGTTTTCATTTGGGCTTAGATTCCTTAGTCGGGGGATATCAATTCAACTAATTTTTTGGAGTAGTGATCTTGTGGCGATTTTTGGAGTAGTGAGCTTGTGGTGACTGGAAGAATGAAGAGATGTTGGTTGTGTTAATACTAAATTATTAATAATCTATAGTAATATAAAGAGGTTGTTGGAAAAATACAAAAATAATATGTTTGACTTAAAAAATAAAGTTTTGACTTACTACTTTAAGCAATAATTACTACTTTAAGTAATGACCATGTAGGTCCCACACATTAAATTAATTAGCATAAAATTATGGAATATATTTAATCACGTAATTAATCATTAAATATCCTAGCATTTCGGATTTTGTTACAAAATTTTAATCGGATTTTTTTAAATTTATTCTTTCACAAATTTCATAACTAACACAAATATCCATGATAAATGAATCACGTTTTTATTATTGTTACAAAATTTTATCTTCAACAAACTCCTTAACAAACTCCTTTTTTTTTAAATAATTTTATAGGATATTGACAAGTCATATTTTTTGGTAACAAATTTGATCCTTTTTCTATTTACTAACTAAATCTTGTGAATCTCTTTGAATTTACAGATTTTTAGGTTCCAAAATTGAAATTATTGATATCCCATAAAATTTGAAAATAATTTGAATTTGAAACATGTGAGAATTAAACATAATACACATATTAAAACATACTTTGGTAAATCTACAAATTTAATTATTCACAAATTAAAAAAATGTGAGATTTGAACATGAATAATCAAATGTAGTTACCAAAATTATTTGATTTTTGTATTACAAGTATAATAAAAACATATTTTTTCTACTATAAATAATCAGATTTTTGGTAGAACAAAATCAATTGATATCCCACCAAAAGTTTTGGTCAATCAAAAATCAAAATGAAATTTAAATAATTTTGGTAAATTAAAATCAAATAATTTGGAAAGCATTTAACAATACATGTTCAAATAATTAGTGGGTATTAATTGAATTTGGTATCTTTTTTTTTTTTAAAAAAAAAAAGAAAGTTTATAAATATATGATAGGAATAAACTTTACTTAAGAAAGTAACTAAAATCTCACCAAAAAATGTCATTTTTACTATTATTCATATATATTTATTTATTTTTTTTATTAATGGGCGGAGGGCTTTCAATTTGAAATTCAACTTATGAAAACATGTGATAAATATTGAAAACATCTAATTTTATGTTCACGGCTTGATATATATTCAAATTCAAATGAAAATTAGCTATAAAATCAATCATAAGATATTCATGGATAATTATTACACAATTTTTTTGATTGTTTGGAGTTAAATATTGCAGAAAAAATCTCAAGATTTGTTAAATGATACATATCAAAATAAAAATATTATTTTTCAATTAATCCAAAAAGCCTTATCAAATCAAACTGTAACAAACTCTATTAATTTTGGTAAACATTATGTCATATTGATATGACACATAATCTTCAAAATTAAAGATTAATTGTTGACTTACTAATATAATCATTATCAATGGGTCCCACATGTCAACCAATTTAATTTAGTTTTGGTAACAAAGTTGATCGAATTTTGATAACAAATCTCGGATTGTGTTAACAAATTTGATCAGATTGTGAGAACAAATCTCGGATTTTGATAACGAATTTTTTAATATATCCCCTTTTTGAAGACACATAGTTATATACACACAATATATTGCCGATAATATCTGAAATTTCTTTTGGTCAAATTTCACAATTCTTTTTGATTGCTTGGAGTTAAATATTGCAGAAAAAATCTCTATATTTGATAAAATATTCACATCAAAATAAATATATTTTTTTCAATCAATCCAAGAAGTCTTCCCAAATTAAATTGTAACAAACTCCGTTAATTTTGGTAAATATGTGACATTTTTTTTTTTTTTTCCCAAAACGACAGATAATATTATAAATCAAAAAGCACAAAAGTGCAAATACACAGCAGCCAACGGCTGAATACACAGCAGCCAACAGCTGAAAAAGAGGGAGGACAGGTCAGAAGACCGCCTAGAATCCCGGCTAGCAGCGCTAGAATAAAAAACACTCGAAACTAAACTACTAACAACACAAACAACTAAAACAAACTACAAGGACCCCAACAGGGTAATATGTGACATTGATATGACACATAATCTTCGAAATAAAAAATTAATTATTGACTTACTAATATAAGCAATATCAATGGGCCTCACATGTCAACCAATTTTAATCAAATTTTGGTAACAAATTTGATCTTATTTTGATAACATATCTCGGATTTTGTTAACAAATTTGATCTGACTGGGATAATAAATCTAGAATTGTGATAACAAATCTTGGATTTTAATAACAAATTTTTTAAAATAACGGTTTTATTTGTAACACACTTTATAGTTATTTACACACAATATATTGTCGACAATCTTTGAGATTTCTTTTGGTAACATATTTCACATTTTTTTCATGTAGATTAGAGTTAAATATTGCAGAAAAAATCTCGAGATATGATAAATGATACATATCAAAATAAAAGTATTATTTTTTAATTAATCCAAAAAGACTTACAAAATTAAATTGTAACAAACTCCATTAATTTTGGTAAACATTATGTCACATTTATATGACACATAATCTTCCAAATAAAAGATTAATTGTTGACTTACTAATATAAGCTTTATCAATGTGTCCCACATGTCAACTATTTTAATCAGATTTTGGTAACAAATTTGATCGCAATTTTGATAACAAACCTCGGAATTAGGTAACAAATTTGATCTTATTTTGATAACAAATCTCGGATTTTGTTAAAAAATTTGATCTGATTGTAATAACAAATCTCAAATTTTGATAACAAATATTTTAATATATTATATTTTTTGTAACACACTTCATAGTTATTTACACACAATATATTGTCGATAATCTTTTGGATTTCTTTTGGTAACAAATTTCACAATTTTTTCGGATTGTTTTGAGTTAAATATTGCAGAAAAAATCTACAGATTTGATAAATGATGCATATAAAAATAAAAATATTACTTTTCAATCAATCCAAAAAGCCTTGCCAAATTAAATTGTAACATACTCAATTAATTTTAGTAAACATTATGTCACATTGATATGACACATAATCTTCAAAATAAAAAATTAGTTATTGACTTACTAATATAAGCAATATCAATGCGCCCCACATGTCAACCAATTTAATCGATTTTTGGTAACAAATTTGATTGGATTTTGATAACAAATCACGAATTTTTGTAACAAAATTGATCTTATTTTGATAATAAATCTTGGATTTTGTTAAAAATTTGATATGATTTTGATAATGAATATCGGATTTTGATAACAAACCTTTTAAAATATCAGTTTTCTCTGTAACACACTTTATAGTTATTTACACAATATATTACCGATTTTTGGGATTTCTATTGGTAACAAATTTCACAATTTTTTCGGTTGTTTTGAATTAAATATTGTAGAAGAAATCTCGAGATTTGTTAAATGATACATATCAAAATAAAAATATTATTTTTCAAGCAATACAAAAAGCCTTACCAAATTAAATTGTAACAACCTCCATTAATTTTGGTAAACATTATGTCACATAGATATTGCACACAATCTTTAAAATAAAATATTAATTGTTGACTTATTAATATAAGCATTATTAATGGGCCCCACATGTCAACTAATTTAATCGGATTTGAGTAACAAG